AGAGTTCCACTTTACATCTATACCAGGCCATATTTACAGTTTACGGTAACCGATAGCGATCAAAGGTCACAATAATCCTTTCCGTAGGAGAGCGGGCTTTTCCGTCGTCTTATAATTCAATGAATTTATAGACTTCAGCCGCTATTGATTGCCTATTTCGCGAACTATTTCATTCTCGGACACATACTTTAAGCACCGGGCATAAGTTACGCCGCTGAGTTCAGTTTGTCATGTAATTTAGCGGAAATGGCACATAAATCAGCTAATGATTTCGACTTTATGAGATTTTCGGTTGCGCGCGGGTTCCCAGTGAAGATAAGTAAATTAGAATCGAGATGAAGTCTATACCTGTTGTAATGCTATCTAGGGTTTTTTTATAGCGAAAGGGTCGATTTACGAAATTGCTACGCTAGCATCCGTTGAAAAAATAATCACATCTATTTTGTCAATTGGAATATTGGTACTAATTAGCAATATCGGAAAATTTTCTTCACGGTGATTTGCCCGTCGATAAAAGAAACCTATTTAAGTTTTTATCTAGCGTCCAATGCCCATATTGCTTTTTTTGTCAGTTTATTATTTAGTAATTTAGTAAAACGGAAACACTCACTGGAGAAAGACTTGGAACTACTAAATAATGGAAGATGTCAATTGTTTTCAATTTTTTTTTCAATACATAACAGTACACACGGTACCCGCGATAACCAGCTTAGCAAGTAGACTGAAAAGACATGTGCCAAATAAACGAAAAGGATTTTTTTAACATGCTCTTCGAGATAGCGGTCTGTAATCTGTAGATATCGCTGTAATTTCCTTCGCCAAGTCTTCACCAAGAATAGCTTTTTTTGAGTTAAGAACCTTGGGGACGATTTAACTTTGCCTCATAAAGTCTATTTTCTAAAGCTTGGCGACCAATTTAAATTTTATTAATGGACGTCGTTCGAAAAGCATAGCAAATTGCAAGCAAGTGCATAGCAAGTGTTTGTGGATAGACTTGTTTAAGGATGTTGATATAAGATTTGCTGTAATTGCCATAAATTATCAAACCTTAGAAAATCGGTTTGACATTTTGATCAATGTTTAATGTAATTGTGAGAGCATTACAAGCGCTTAATTGTTTACTACATACTTAACTGAATTGAGTTTTAATCTGACCAATAATATATGTGTAATCTCTTTGTAATTCGATTTCATGTACTTCGAAATAAAAGGCTCTGAGAAATAACCGACCAAGAAGTGAAGGATTTGTAGCATTCGGTTCTACAACACCAACCTCTTTCGAAATGGTTTTAGAGTCGTTTTCACCAGATTTCCGATCACCACTATAATTAAACGCAAGAATTGTTACTCTTTCTTAGCTTTGAGCTTGGGTTCTTGTCTTATAAAAATAATGTTGAGACTAATGTGAAGGGTGCCCATGTCATACGCTGCTAGAACACCAATGTCAACTTCCACTGTCAACTTGTATCAACCACTATCATATTTACCTACAATACTAAAAAGAGAATTAGATTTGCTACTAACAAGATTTAAAGCTAATTTAGCTAATTTAAAGTTAATTGTACCTTTAGACCGACAAGCTGAGGCAATGTGGCAATTAGGGTGGTTGTAAGGATTATTAGCATTGGATGAACTCACCGTTTTTTCGGCGTAGGCACTTCCCCATCCAATGAGAAAACGTATGTTTGTTATTTTTGGCTTACACCGTAGGTCATCTTCTTGTTTAAAGCGAAGCAGATAAGCCTTAAAGCAGGGTAACGCGCGTAACTTCGGTACATAGAAATTGCTTCATGATTCCATAAAACCCAGTCTTTAATTTTCAATATCGGTTTATGTCTTAATTGTTCGCTTTGACAGTGATCCCAGCAGTATTCTCGTATGGTCTGTGAGAGAAGATGCGTATCTTATCGCACAAAACCAGTATCCCGACTTGAGAGCCTTACTGTAGGATTGACCGTCCATCGCCCAATTCCATAAGAGCTGGCGTATAGCATTACCGCCTGTATTACTTCAACCGGTATGCGTCTGCAACTTGCTCTTCGCTGGCTTCGTCTAGCATTCACATGAGTAGGCCAGCAGCTAAGAATCGCGACCACCAAGTTAAACCTTGTAACGTCCGCGAACAAAATTCAGGGAGGGTGTCTGTTAGTCCGCTTTTACCGCAAGTGTCATAATAACGGATTTTACTGTTTTTCTGCATAGTAGCGGCTAGCCGTTAGGTATGCGAAAAAGCAGGGAGAGAGAAAAATCGTGCGAAGAAATTCGGTGGTGGGTTTTTGATTGTTGTGCTGATCGTTAGAGAGTCGAGTGGTAGCTGCCCAAGCAAGCGCTTGCTTTTATTTGCCTATTGTACAAAGAAGATATAAAAAACAATTAAAGAAATGCACATTTTATTTAAATATTTGATTAACTCGGTTGCAAATTAGTTTTCTTTGCAAGAGACGCGTAGTGAGATTTTTTGTTAAAAAAAATGAAAATTTAAGTTTTTGTATAAAAAATGTAGTCAAAAAATCACGTTCAAAAAAAAAGGAAGAGAAAAAATTACGGAAAGAATTCGTGAAAGAAAAAAAGGACTGGACTTTGACACGTGCTTAAGTTGATTTAAAATAGCACAAAAAAAAAGAAGAGCTGAAGGAAGGGGAAAAGGAGAAAAAAGCTACATTTTAACTTGCATGATTTAAATAATTTTAAAATTTTAATACAAACATTATGGACATTATTGCACAAAATTTATAGACGATCATTATTACGACTTTTATAGCTAGTATCACAGTTTTCGTCATAATTAATAATTTATAACAACAAGAAAAAAAAAAACAAAAATGTTGATGTTTTTGTGAAATGCTTGAATGCGAGCGAACCAAATCACATGATTTTGTTAGATGTGGAAAATAATCTTTGTATAGAAAAACTGGGAGTTGCTCTTTGTCTTCGTAAAGATAATATTAATAAATAAAAAAAAATGTGTAGATTGTATTTTATCAGAGGCAGTGCTATTGATACATTTTTGATATTCGAGTGGATTTTTAATAAAAAGCAAAATTAAATAATTAAATAAAAAATTCAACTAAGATAAAAATCAAACTTTCTACGTATAAAAGTAATTAAAGAGGAAAAAATTTTGTTCTTACATGCTTAATTAGGCATAAATAAAAAACAAACAATTGATATATGTGTGCGTTTACTATACCACACACAGTACATAAGTTAACTAAAGAATAATTTAGAATAAATTGGAAATTAATCTGTAAACTGATTTCAAGATTTAGAAAGTCGGTAACAAAACGACTAAATAGTTATAATTAATTAACTCCTCTGTTTTTTTTAAATTAATATAAGACTGTACATTGATTAAAATGTTAATTGGAAATAAAATCTACGACTACATGTACATATATTTGAAAAAAAAAAAACAAAATGCTGAAGTAAAACAAAGAAAGAAACACTTTTTTTTTCTGGCAAAATATTGAGGTTGCGCTCTAATTAAGGGGAGAAGGAGAGCGTCAAAATATAGTTAGTGAAATGATGAACGTACCAGCCTAAGGAAGTCTACTATCAAGGTGTGGTGTTCGATAAGGTGGCTGAGCAAATTGGTTCCTACTTATTCACATTGCTGCCGGACCTGACGCCTGCCTTGCCTAGAAAAGGCGGCAATTCTGTATGTACTGCGCCCACATCTGCTATTGTGGAACATCAGCATCTGGAGCAGCCAGCGTGTGTCTGCCACGAGGATGCCACCTCTCTAGCTGGCCCTTCATTATCTCAACGGTCAGGTACTATTAGATGTAGATCAAAATGCTAGCGGTAATAAGAAGAGAAATTAAAATTTGTAATTGCTTGGTTGTAAAATTTAAATCAGAATGGGCGGCTAGGCGGAATACGCCACCGCTGTAGCAGGAGTATGGACGGGTACGCGCGTGAGGGGAAGTAAGGGGACCCTGGACAGATACCGACGGACTGACACCGGACCAACGAATGACGGACAACAGATTTCATAAACAGACTTACACCGTTTTTCAAGGACCAAATTTTCTTTAATTTGCATTTTCTTTGTTGTGTTTTTTTTCATTATCATGCGGCCCAGCATGCCAGCTGAAATAATTTAATCTACCGAAAGGTGAGCTGGGCCGCATGTTACAACCTCGCAGTTGCAAAGCTCAGTGAGGAAAAGTTATGTTGACTATAATGACTAGTCTATCTCGCAATTCTGTAGGTGACAAGAAGCTGGTTAGATTACGTATGCCGGGTCTCAGTTTCGTCGGTTTTTACTGGTATCTTGGGCAAAAGCTGAGAGTTTTCATATAAAAATACCGGATCAATGAACCAATTATACGCCGTTTTTAACGCATTGGTCTCCTAGATAAGATCTCGACCAGGTTATCCTTTGAACGTACGCACCACTTTTATTCGAGCAACTTTATTGGCCACGAATGTTTGCGACGCGGTAGATTAGGATGATACCATGGGTAGTACGATTTGCGAGGCAGTTGAGATTTTTTTGCAGGCGAAGTATCAATTGAACATTCAAGAGCGCAGCACATGCTTCGACGAGAGGAATTGTTTGTGCCTTGGAACTTAGGAGACGAGATTTTGCATTTATCAATTTATCTTCCAACTTTGCTGATCGGCGCCATATAAACCACGGTGACTTAAGCTTACTGCTACCTGTCTCACTGTATGTCCAGTTCTCAAAGTTCCTCATCATAAGGTAAGTCCTTATAATTGCTGAATTAAAATATTTGCCGTGAGAACAGCCAATGACAAGTACTCCATAGAAGGAAAGACTTTGACTGCGTCAGATAAAATATGTCTTTTAGCGCTGCTGGAAATCTTACAAAGATTAAGCTTAAATCAAAGTTGACCAATTTCCGGCACGCAATTTTTTGCCAGTGCTGTTTCTGTTGTTGCTCAAATCTAAGGCAACATTTTCGTCCTTTGAAGGAATTGACCGAAAAAGTCTCCGAGCTTCATTTTATGCAGTGGTGACAGATTTTCCAGATATGCCCACCTCACGAACACCGAAGTTAGCTAAAACGAGTGATGGAACGACTGGCCTATCAGGTGAATGACTAACAACGAAATAGTCACTGATAGTTGTAAAAATTTGTTCTGCAAAATAAATATGACCTTCTTTCAATTGGGGATGACGTCGTTGTTGCTTATCCCGCTAATTGAAGATTCCCGGTAAATAATCGAATTCTTATTTTTTTTTTAAGGAATTCCCAGCTTTTCAATTCTTGGCCAGTTTCAATTTTATAAGATACCTAAACATATCCGCCTATTCGTGAATCTGTCTGTTTGCGCAACTTTGTAATTTTATTTTGAGATTGTATTTGTTGAAAATTAGAAATTAGCTAAACAAGGACAACGCCATAATAAATAAGAAGACATGACTTCTTTGGTTTACAGTTTTCATCTGATCTTTATTGACTAGAATATATTATATTAAAAGTAACTCTTTTTTTTAACGTGCGTAATAATAACACGTAAAGGAGGGAGAAAGATCAAATGCATGTTATCACTGGATAATGCTATCACGCATTATTAAGATTAACTTTTGTTCCACCGACACTCCACAGACAGTTACATATGCTTTACAAAGAAAGAGACAAACTAAGAACAAAAGGAAGCACTTACCCAACGGGCACATCATAAGCCCTGGGCCGTTCTGCACTCTACCCAACCTAGGGTCTTCTTCCACACATGGTTTGCAATGAGAGGGATAAACGGTGTTGAAACCAACTTCACTTGTTGGTCGCTAGGCAACGCAAATTAAATGCATGACAGCTCAACCATGACCGTTAACAAACTACTAACTATTCTGACTAAATACAAGGGCCAACAAGCCATCATACTGCCGATTCCATCTTCGTCGTGTATGCTTTTTTTATATTGTTACAGAATTTTTTTTGCAGCTCCCAATTTTTAAAACTTTTGTGGACACACATTTTATTTCCTTTTTTATATTTTTTCACCTTGGAATACTTTCAGACCTTTAGATTTTCATCTGCTGTTATATGTCGCAATTGTTGATAGATTTTCACCTCGAAGATGTAAAATTTAGTTCTGAAGATAACTTGTGACTACGGTAAAAACCTTTCACGTAATCCAATCTTTATTCTTAGTTTTCTTTTGTTTGAATAATTCTTTTATATATTTTGTTTGAATTTGAGAAAATTTTGTCAAATTTTATTAACAAAATCAAAAACTATTGCTTTACTGCCCTCCACCACAATAAGACAGACAATTCTCCCCCATTTCCAGAAATTTTAATTTTTTTTCGTAACAACATACTAGGCTAATTTGTTAACTCTAAAAAATATGTACAAAATGACAAAAACTCGAATAGATTTCATCTATTAAGTGATACATCCCCCATCATCTATTAAGTGATACATCCCCCCTAAGAAAAAAAAGTAAAAATTCCGATTTTCCGTTGTTGCCAATCACCGATA